AATCATTTGTTATGGATTAAAAACTGGTGGTCAATTTAACACCAGCTGAATTAAATCAGCATGGTGCTGAGTGTTGCTGGTCCACCTGAGGAAAGTTGCCAGCATAAAAGGAGATGTGGGGAAAAGTGGGGTGTTGTGTGTTCTCCTAAGTGTTGTTTGGAGCCATTGGTTCTGGAGGAGCTTGTCATGGCTAGCAACTCCGAAATGAATTTAGCTATTTTCATTGGAAGAGCTCAGGACCTTATCACTGAGAATGGCTGCGGTTCACTTTGGAGGAACGCTGGTCCTTACATTGAGCATCCCTTCTTGGCTCCAGAGGGCAAGATGTGTGCTGTTTAATCTCCAGCAGAAATTGGCACGGTGGCTTCCTGATATGTCACACTTGAATTCTGATCGTTGAGGAGCTCGGGACCTCATTGTCACTGAGGATGGCTGTGGTAATTTTCAGGGATGCCCTGGTTCTTATTTTGAGTCATCGCTTCTTGGTTCCACTGCAGAACCTTCAATCTACTGCACAAATCCTTCACCCTGCTGGCGTAGACTTTCTAGCTTCTACCGATGACCTTTGGGCCTTCTCTGTATATCCATAAAACAGACTTGAATGGGTCATTGTCATGGGCTCTAGGTTTCAGCTGGACTCATGCAGAACATTGCTGTGGGATCCAGACCCTTGGCTGGATTTTCTAGATCTTTAGTGTGGTGAACAGATTTCCTGCATTTTCTCTATTTAATGCTGGGTGATTATCATAAAATAGTATAAATTCTGTATCCTGTATGTAGTTGTTTTCCTTGCAACCCCTGCCTACAACATCATCATTGTAAATTCTTTGTAAATTATAAAGCATTGTATTTCTATAAGGGTAGGAGAGGAGAGGGCTTATAGGAATTACTTGGGAACTTTTTGAAAATAACTTTCTCCACGTTCACCTCCTATTCCCAGTAATGCACCAATATACAACTATATTTGTTTTAACAGCTGCTTCCTAAATGTAAATAGTTTGTAACTGTTTAATTGCTTTTATTTAAAGGAATTCCACATTCTTCTGTTGAAAGTGGAATATAATGCAGTAACACACGTTGAAGAGTGCAAAATAGTGAGTGACTTAAAATCCGTATTCTGTGTCATTCTGTACAAACTTGTGACATACTGATTTTCAGAGAATGTGAAGAAAATGCTACTAATTGCTGTTGAAACCAAATTTAAACCATATAAATTATGAATGTAATTGAGGAATGTAATGCATGTCTAGTAGGTGCCATAGAGATACAAGTTTGTAACTTGGAGGACATCAGCAGTGAGATTTCCTGATTTGGGGGTGAATATTATTAGCTTTTTAGGAGATTTTGGTGTTGCTGATTAGTAGCCTGTTAAGTTTGATACGGGTTTTTTTAGTCTACAAGTTTGAGATTCAGGACACCATTCAGTAATCTAACTGAAAACTGGAGAAATCTGCAACTAAGGCATGGCGTTACATTAGAATAGGAAATTTAGCTGGAAACTAGAGTTGGTAGTAAAGGGTAATTGACTGAAGGTTCTAAGGATGTTGCAGTTTGGGGGACTTGATATATAATATCATTTTCCCTCTCTGAACTCTTAGCAGACTGAGAAAACAGGAATCAACAAGTAAAGAAACAAGATGCAGGAAACACCTTTTATTAAAAAATATTTTTTAACCAGGTAAAACTTAGCATGCCATACAGTTTTCTATTTTAGAGTGTACAATTCAGTTTTTAGTACATTCACAAAATTGTGTACTCATTACTATTAGAATATTTTCATTAGGTTTCATCGGGGGGGGGTCGTTTGTTTTTGTTTTTTGAGACAGGGTCTTGCTATGTAGTGAACTCACAGCAATCCTGCCTCAGCCTCTCGAGTGCTGGGATTATAGGCGTACACCACTGTACTAGGCTTTCATTAATTCTTAAATCTCTTAGGAGCCAGTCCCCACCAATGACTCCTTGGTGTTCAAGTTTTTTGTTAAGTAAGTTATATCCACCTACCATGCAATTTTTGGAGAGGAGTAAACTACTAGTAGTATTTAGAGAAGTCATATCTCATAAAACTGAGTCCAACAGAAGTTTTCTTCTCTAACAAATGTGAAAATTAAGCTAGAAACCCAAAGGCCGTGCTTAGATGAGAAGGCCATGCCACTTTATCAAGATAGGAAGTACATTAAGTAAAGATGATGAATTCAATTTCAGACAACGCAAATTTGGAATTTCAAGGAAGGGATATTAGATATTTATGTTTGGATAGCAGATTATTCATCCCTGCTGGAGACAAAGATTTTGAGATTCATCTGTATACATGCGATTACAATAGAGGGCCAAGTAAAGCACTCATACAATAAAAACAGAGCAATATCTTTGGTTTTGATTATGCTAACTGGTGTTTCTGCTGTGTATTGCTATGAGTGGCTTGCTTCTTTCTGGGTTTTATGACTGATTGAATTAATGTATTCACATCATTAATTTTATGATCCTATTTGTGGAAGTTTTTTAAAGGCCTAAGTCAAAGAGGATTCCCTAGGGAGAATTTGCATTTGCATGTGTTGAGGTTGAAAAGGAAAACTGCCATCCTGCAGTCACTGTAAACAACTTCTAAGTATGAAGCTTTTAAAATCATAAACATGGGGGAAGGTCAGAATATGGTTGTGAACTATCAGAGGAAACACCACTGCACTGCTGTCTTACCCTTATCTCCTTGTCTACACCTGGTGCCAATGTTAAAAATGTAGTTTTCAGTCTGGTGTGATGGTGTATATTTGTAACCCCAGCCTGAGCCTGGAGCTTCTGACGTTTGAAACTAGCCTGCTTTACATTGCAAATTGCCCATCTCCAAATCCCCTCACCTGTAACCTCTCCTCTTCCAAAGCAGTCTTCCTTGTAATTCTTTTGGGTAAGACCTGAACTTTGCTACTTTTGCTGGACCTCAAGAGGCTTCAAATTAATTGAAAATTGGAATTCATATAGTTTGATAAATGTCCTAACGGTGAAGGAAAGCTAGTTTTAGTACTCTGCATATCCCCCTAATTCCCTGCTTATAGTTAGTTTTTGACTTCTGATGATACCTAATTTTTTGTCAGGTTTTTGATTCATTTGTAAAGATTTGAAAATAGATTATCTAGCATTCTAGTTATTTTAACTGAACATGGTGACCAAGCCATCTATCATGTCATCCTGGCAGAAATAAAATCATGTCTGTCCAGCGTATGCAGGACACTTAGTTGTTGGTAATTTAGTTAGCTTCTGAATTAAGTTATAAACTTAGAACAGAATCCAGTGTTTTTGTTGGCTTACATAATATTTAGAAAATAAAAAATCGATTTTTAAATTAGATTTTGGATTTCTTCTTTTGAAAAACTGAAAGTTCTTACAATAATGGGCTGAGCAGGATTTGGTGACACATGTCTGTAATCCCAGTCTTCTGGATGGCTGAGAAAGGAGGATTATAAGTTTGAGCTTTCTGTCTAGGGAGCTTAATAACTGAGCAAGGTTCTGTTTCAAAAAATCAGGAACTGAGGATGTAGAAAAGTGCAAGACTCTTGAGTTCAGTGCCCAGTACAAACCAAACTTCACCCTGCGCCCCCGCCCAAAAAAAACCTCTCCCACCAACAAAACAATGGGCCTAAAACACTCTTTCTTAGCAGTTGATTAGAGCTGACAGTAGAAGGCGACTCCTTCCTTTCAGACTAAACGTGGTCTCTTTAGTTGTTCAGTCTTACATCACTTGTGCAGTGTATTCACACATATACATCAATACCTGTCCTAACTTACTTCATTTATATTAATGTCTCAGTTATTTTTCTCATTGCTGAGACAAAACACCTGGCACCCTCAAGTTAAAGGAGCAGAGATTTATTTCAACTCACAGTTTGTAGGAGTTTCAGTTCATAGTTGGCTCCACGGCAGATGGGCATGGGAGAAGGGCATCAGAGGAGATGCAGTCCATGGCAAACAGGCAAGAGATTTGCAAGCCGTAGCAGCAAGTTTGCCTGCTTTCTGTTCCTTACTTGTATGTTCCATTTAGGCTACAAGTCTGTTGATTGGTGCCGCCCTTACCCATGGTGGGGTTTCTGTTATCCATCCTTTTAATCCCAGTGTCACACTCTTAATCCACATTCACATACTTTAATCCAGCCACCTTTGAAACTCTCTGTGAGCACATGGGAGTTTGGAGGGGAGGAACATCTAGATGTAAGTCATAATAACAAGAATCTTTGGTGTTTGTGAATCATCCTTTCTCTTACGAAAATATTCAACACTGGCACATCCTTGGGAGAGTAGCACTAATAGACATTTTCATATATGTTCACTTTATTACTTAATTCTAACAGCAAATCTGCAATGGTAAAGCTATAAAAGTGTTATACAGGTGTTCCATTACCAAATTTCAGATAAAGAAACTGAGGTTTGTTGAGGTTATGTGAATTCTTTAAGGTCTCAGCAGTGTTTCAAGTTAGAATTTAAATCTAGAATTCATTCAGACAGAGCTCCTTGTGTTCCAGTGTTAATCTTAACTTTTTTTTTAAACAATGGAACTATTTCTTCAGATGTTTTAGTGAAGTTTAGTAAATAAAACCAATGAAGGTGGCACTGCTTTCATGGAAGAGATACATGAATGGGGGAGCAGTTAATGTTGGAACCAGAGATCTGCATGCCCAATTTGATGAAGGCTTAGGCACCTTTGTGGAATGCTTGGGATTTTCTAAATAATTTGGATACACTAAGCATTATCATTTGTCAGATTATGAAATCTCAGCTCATTTGGATGTCACAGTTGTAGTATGCTTGCTTCTTTTTTTACTCTTCCTGATGTTTCTTCTATAATACCTCTTCCTATTCAGTAGCATTTCTCATTCATGTGAGTTTGAGTTCTGATAATGGTTGTTCTTTTAGTATTCTATTTTGTTTTTCACAGTTTTAATTAGAATTGTAATGTGATTTATAATTTAATTTATTTTGGAGCATCTAATAATTAACTCTTGTTTACTTTTTAGATTCTCTTTGTGGCCAGATGGGTTTGTATGGACAGACTTGTCCATCTGTAACTTCATTAAGGTGAGTGTTCATTTCTTTTTCTCAACACTTAAAAGTAAACTCATTTGACACTGTATTTCAAGGTGAAGTTCATAATAAAACACTGCATCTTGTTTTGTCAAGTAGTGCACTTTGTATAGTGGAGAGATTTTCTGCTTACAGAGATTTTTGTAGTAATGAGATTTGGAAATATTTGTTTCCATTAGTAAGTTTAGTGAACTGAGTGAACTTAGTAAGGTTATGGTTATTTACATGAAATAACATAATTTTACACTTCCTTTGTTGTTTCTTAGCTTTGTATTTGTTTTAACCATAAAATAGTAAATTTTGATTGTTCGTAGCAAATTATTAAAAGAGACTAAAGATACTAATTTTATATTATCCTCTTTTACAATATGTAAAATACGTGAAAAAGTAAAAGTAAGTTATTGTATACATTTCAATGGTTTTAGAATTTTGAAGTCACCAGATCCTTCCTACAGGTTAACTTTTACGTGAAGTTCAATGAATAATGTAGGTAACATACTCTGCTTACTTAGACTTCCATATCTACTTTCATAGTATCTTTTGAGGGATTTTTGTGGTTCCAGTAACAATTTGAAAAATAACCTAAACCTGATTTTTAAGTTGTAACCTTTTGGAGTAGAATATAAAGTGTGATGACAGCATCTGTTAGTTACATGTGGTGTTGCAGTCAGTCCTCTCATTCATTTAGCATATCAAATACCTGGTGCGCTATTTAACACTATCCCCATAATCGTGGAATATACCTACTAGTGGAGAGAAAATTAACAAAACAAGTAGAAATATCTGTTAAGAGAGTGACAGTGATTAGGGCTAAGATAATTAAAATGGAGGACAATGTGAAGTAATGAGGATATGTGTTATTTTAGATAGGGTAGCCAGGGAAAATCACAGAGAAGGTGACAGTTGAACAAAGAACTGAAATAGTGATGGAATGAGCCTTATATTAAGTATGTGGAAGATGACCATTCTACCCGAAGAAATCCAAGAAGTGCCCAGGCAGAAGGTTTCTCTGTGTGTTTAAAAAATATTGAGGTCTATGTGGCTGGAGCAGAGCTGGAAGAGAGTTGGAATTATCCTGTTATGGAAGACATGAGAGGAGAAAAGACAGATACAAAGTTACTAGAGCCATAAGTGTGAAGCTAAGGAATCCTTAGGATTGAGAGAGATTCTAGTTTTCTAGAATACTACAAAAAGAAAATGAACAGTGAAGCTGTTATTTCATTTTTATGTACTTCTTCCTCAGTAGAAAAACTTTGTGCTTTTATGGCATTTCTTTCTATGGGAGTGGAAATAGATGAAAAGATTGCTTTTCTATTTCCCTTGAGTTTTTTTCCCTTCCTCTGTAAATAAGAGACATCTGAATAGCTCTGAAAAGAGCTTTTTTTTTTTTTAATAAAAAGACTCATAATTTCTTTAATCTTCCAAGCTGTTGTAGAACTAATTTGACTCACTGATTTCCTTTTAGTATGATGGAGATAGTCATTTTTCTCTCTCTTTCAATACTGTATTTAAAATTTGGGAATGGTTTCTTCAGGATATTTTGATCTTCCAGTCAATATTTTTCCTTAAATATGTTTTAGTGGTGGGGTTACAATGAAACAGTCATATTAAGGCTGTTCACCAAGTGGATATTAAATATGTAAGTCAAGGTAGGGAGTGGAATGGAAGTGTGTGAAAAAAAACTTTGGACACAATTAAGATAGTAAATGAATTATAGTTGTTCCCCCAGTCATCCTAAATATTTAGAGTAAGTATTGTTTTCTTAGAGATGATATTGGTTCTTTGTTTAATATAGAAATGTATTAGGATTTTGTTGTTGTTTTTTTGTTTTAGTTTTTGGAAATTAGGGTCTCACTGTGTAGCTTAGGCTGGTCTTCAGCCCACTGTGTAGTCTAGGCTGTCCTTGAACTTGTGGTAATCTTCATGTCTTCATCCTTCCAAGTGTTGAAATTATAGGCATGCACTACCACTCCTGACTTTATTAGGATTAAGAATTCTTACTGTATTTTTAGGATTAAAAAGTAATACTTCATAGAAAGTATGGAAATAAGAAGTACCATTTAATATTTTCAATTCACATAATTTTATTTGCTTATTTACTTTTAAAATGTCTTCATTTAACATAATTTTATTCATTTATTTACATTTTTTGAGACAAGGTTTCACTTCGTAGTTCAAGCTAGCCTTGACTACTTTGTCATCCAGATTGACCTTGATCTCATGGCAGTCTTCCTGCCTCATCTTACCAAGTGCTGGGATTATAGATATATGCTACCACCAGCTAACCTTACATTTTAATGAAAGTTACAGTAGCAATGTTATATTCTGTATGAGACAGTTTTGTTTCTTTAGTGTTCTTAGCCTAGGCAAAATCCATACTAGTAATTTAAACAGACATGCTTTATAGAGAGAATGGTTAACTAGATATAAAGTTGTTAACTAAGTAATAGAAAAGATAAAAATAAAACTTGTATGAAGATAAGACACAGTAGGGTACCAGGTACTACCTATCAGATTCAAGGACAAGGAAAAAACTTAGAAAAGAAAGCCCCTTTGAACTGAGAGTTAGACCTACTAGGAGAAACTGCAACAACACTTACGCTGGTGTCTGAGCTTGGATGATGGGACTTGTCAGATTGACAGCCAGATCTCTGTTGGGGGGATGCTAACATGAGTTCAGATTGTGATGGATGTAGTTTCTGTGAAACAGTAGAATCTTAAAAATTTAGCATAATCTATTTGATTCCTGAATTTCAATAAGCTGGATTCAAATCCCAAAGAACTTTTATTTCTGAGCAAAGTTTTAATAAGATCAAAAGCTTACTGAATAGTTTATCTAGACAAGTAAATACGATGTATATATCACATGACTTCTTTCACATAATGTAGCAACAGACTGGTTTTATAATTTGATTTTGTCAAAGCAAAATAATTTGTTTCTTTGGGCCTGTTGAGACCCTGTATTTCTCTCAATTACCTAGCATATTTTAGAGTATTGATTTTATGGTTCACATATATATATAGTTTGAGACACTGGTTTACAGTAGCACTTGAAGTAGTTTCTAATGACAATTACTAATCTTTCTGAAACTGCTTCCCCTTTTTCCATGTTTTTCTTGCCTGTTTTCTTTCTGTTAATGCTTGTCCCTTAAAGACACCTTTTATTCTTGATTTAATTTCTGTTTACGAGTAGTATATACTAGGAAACACATAGGGATATTTTAACATGAGCTTTCCCACAAAAATGTTAGTGGCTCATATACATTTCCTATTTATCTGTTTATTTCCCTCATCTTGATATTGATGACCCTGATGTTTCAAATGATCAGAGAGGTAGATTTATTTTAAGGTCTCTTGCTGCCTTGTTTCCAGTAGCAGGCTTGGTATTGACAAGCGTTCTGGTGTGTAGTCTTAAAACGAGGTAGGTGCAGGTTCAGTTCTGTCTTGAGTGCGTATTAGCCATGTAATCTTGGGCAAATTACTTTTCTGTCTTCATGAGTTTAAACATATACAAAGATGTTGGCATAATTTTTCTTCTCTTCCATTTCCCCTAGTTATAAAACAAGGAAGTTTGTCATTTTTAAAATGAGAGAATGAGACAGAACTTTTGCTATTATCAGCTCAAGAATATGAGCTCTTCTATTTCCTCTTCATCTTAAAATTCTTACATTCTAGAATACCCAAAAGTGTTGAGATTTACCATTGTCCTTTGAACTAAGGAAGTTGCTATCATTTAATACTATATGTTTGTTGTATTTGTAATTCAAAAATTTTTTTAAGGCAATGTCTCGCTTTGTAGCTCAGACTGGACTTAAAATCATATAGTCCAGGCTGGCCTTGAGCTCAAAGTGAGCCTAATGTTTTGACCACCTTTGTGCTGGCATTACAGGAATATGCAAATATGCCTAGTTTAAAATTTTATATTTTTCAGTTTGTTCCACACAGCAGCAGAAGTAGCCTTTGTTTACCATGTAATATATTTTTCATTGTTAAACATTTCTGGATTTTGTAAAATCTTTTTTTTTGGTACCGGGGATCGAACTCATGACCTCAGGCTTGCCAGGCAGGTGCTTATGCCACTGAGCTAAATATCTGCGATTTTGTACAGTCTTATTTATTTGCATGTTTTAAGATGGCATGTTCCATTTAAATGGTGAATAATCTGAAAAGTCTAATTTGACTACTCTAAAACAGTATTTTGGATTTTTGGGGATTATCTTTTGACATTAATTCAAAACACGTAAAATTAGTACTTAGTTAACAGTATCCACATTTTAAGTGTTCACCAGCCACATTTGGCTAATGTTGTCACATTGAACACCACAAACATTTCATTGTTGCAGTAAGTTCTGTTGGACAGTAATGGTATATGGATCCTCTTAATTATAATTTCCTCTTTGAACTGAGAACCCTAATGCTCTGGGGCCTTCATTTCTGAACAGTTATTAAAGGAGTACCATTGCTTTTATAACAGTTGGTGTTGTTTTACTGGTGACTTCGGTAGCTAGTATTTATGTTGTACTTTATTACATATTACTTTACTACAAGAGGCATTATTTCCATTCTCGCCACATACCCTATTTGAGTACTTTACATACGTTAATTAAATTCTGCCAATAACTCTGTGAGGTCAGTACCATTATTTTCCTCCTTTCACAAGTGAGTAAATAGAAGCAAAGTTAAGCACTTCAAGCTGATCAGGGACAGGTCTGGGTTTCATATGTACTGGTAGGTCTTGCTTCAGTGCCCGCAGCACTCTTAACTGTTAAACTCCACTGCCTCTTAGCTATCAATATGTATTGCATTTCAAGGGTTTAAAAAAAGAGAGAGATTTTCCAAAGAGATATGTAATTGGGGATAGTGTAAAATAATAAGCACAAAAGGGAAATACCAATGCAGGAAATTGTGGTGGGAAAGTAATAGAAAACCACTGATTTAATTTTAAAATATATTGTATATGATTGAAAAAATCTTGTTACAAAAAGCAGTAGTTC